GTAAGGTCTGCAGCAGGTAAACAGACTGTAAGGTCTGCAGCGGGTAAACAGGTTGTAACGTCTGCAGCGGGTAAACAGACTGTAAGGTCTGCAGCAGGTAAACAGACTGTAAGGTCTGCAGCGGGTAAACAGGTTGTAACGTCTGCAGGTAAACAGGCTGTAAGGTCTGTAGCAGGTAAACAGGCTCTAACGTCTGCAGGTAAACAGACTGTAAGGTCTGCAGCAGGTAAACAGACTGTAAGGTCTGCAGCGGGTAAACAGGTTGTAACGTCTGCAGCGGGTAAACAGACTGTAAGGTCTGCAGCAGGTAAACAGACTGTAAGGTCTGCAGCGGGTAAACAGGTTGTAACGTCTGCAGCAGGTAAACAGACTGTAACGTCTGCAGGTAAACAGACTATAAGGTCTGCAGCAGGTAAACAGACTGTAACGTCTGCAGCAGGTAAACAGGCTGTAACGTCTGCAGGTAAATAGACTGTAACGTCTGCAGCAGGTAAACAGGCTGTAAGGTCTGCAGCAGGTAAACAGGCTCTAACGTCTGCAGGTAAACAGACTGTAACGTCTGCAGCAGGTAAACAGGCTGTAATGTCTGCAGCAGGTAAACAGGCTGTGAACATCTTTTAGCTAGCTTTACCTCCTCATGGCGATTAACAGCTTTACACCTTCTCTAACTGCCTCTGGCTGAAGAAATGTTCTGGAGTGTTTTCAAAAAGTTTCTGTAACTTCTGAGTCATTCTCGGCCAAAATATGGAATAATACGAGTCGGGTATAAAAATACAGGAATTCCAGATTAAAGGCTGCTTTACTGACAAGGAGCTAATACAGCTAATGCTAAAGATTAATGTTAATGCTAGTTTAGCTGCTTCATATTGGTAAAACATTTTGTAATGTGTTTTTAATGGAGGATTGTTTGCTGTGTAGGAGTAACAGAATAATCTGCTCGTGTGTATTAGGATAAAATCTGATGTTTAAAAAGAACTGCTCACAGGCCGACTGAAGTTCTTCTTATCTTATTCTAACTGTCCAACACAGACATGCAGAAAACTTGGCCACTTCCACGTCGTTATTTCCACATCACGGTCTACCTCAAGACCCCCCCCCCCCCCCCCCCCACCCCTGTCCAGGTCTCCAGCTGTGAGGTGCATGTGTGAACGAACAGATCAGGAGGATTTCAGGATCAGCCCTCCTCATGTTGTCTAGAAATGTTCAGGAGTGTGTCTCCATTGATAAATCTTGGACTTCACTCCCGGATGTTTTCAATGTCAAATCATTTGGGTCAGAGTTTACGTGCACTTTTTTCCGCAGCCTGTCACCTGACAACTTGAATTATCTATCTTACTTCGTTTGAGCTGCTGATTCGATAAGGTCTGCTCTAAATTCTCTCCAATGTTTGATGCCAATGAACTTAAACTCTGTATTTTTAAACAGGATTAGATTAGAGGAGGGAGAGGGCG